CCAAGAGCATTAAAATCCGAGGAACAGAAGAATTCTAAAAATACGGTTTGGGAACAAGCATTGAATACGATATGAGTATAGGGAAATTGGTCATGCAACGACTTCTTATATTTCGCGCTACGGGGTGTGCGATAGACTTACCTCCACGTGGTGCACCCTGGCCAACGTATACTCATACAGCAAAAATGTCTACAAACTGGCAGTTGAATCGACTTCAAACTACCATCACCCCACTGTATGTCATAGTCGATCACTTCAACAGTATTCACCTTACCTTTTTCTCTACCTTTGTGTCTGTCTGCCTCTTTTATATCCACAAATCATTCTTCTGTTCCCCCTCTCAGCATTTTGAGTCCTTGATGTTCCTCCTCCCCCCTATAAACCCCGAAGTTAGCTAAAGGATTAATGATCACTATCATAAAGCCTGCCATTTGATATAAACTCTTGCCCTCTCCAAAAGCCAAGAGTTTGAAAACCCAATCAGTAGCAAGCTGAATACGTTCTAAATTCAAATGCAAATATTCACGATTGAAAACTTATTCCAGGTCAATTCGAACTATGTACAATGTAGCACAGTTCCTATCAGGTCATACAAATTTAGGGTTAATAGTTATATCAGTAATAATGAAAACAAGACGTAAAGGAAAATACCAATTTTATCATGGAAAATATTTAATAATTACTTATAATATGTTCACTTCGACACAAACAAAGGTTTACTATCCTTTCGCACCGGATCGATTAGAGTTGAAGACTAGCAGAGTCGGTGTCGCCATTGGAAGTGGAGGACTCCTGCTTCGCGGCAATTGAGGGATCTTTGGGTTCTTCTTCTTCCTCCTTCTGCTGTTGTTTTGAGTCTTCTGGCCTGACTGCAATTTCATCTAAAATGGGGGGATGTGAATAAGGCAATATGTGATGAGAAAAGGTACTAGAATTGGCTAGGGGTGTACATTAACACAGAGCTTGGTCAACAGATATCTTCACAAGAGCCAAATTTTAACATCAAGAAAACTACATTCTAGGGTGCTATATGAAGAATTTATCCAAACATATAACATAGAAACTCCATTCAAACAACCAGATGAAACATATCAAGAAGGAACAAGAAGACGGATAAAAATTGTTTATCATAATTCGTCATTTCAAATGAAATAGTTCCAAAGGCCTATCTCGGCTTAGATCTTTGGTTGCGTAGCGAACAGAATTGTGCAGCAATAGGTTACCTCACTGGAACATAATTAAATGCCCTCCTTGAGTTTGGAATTGGAGTTGCGAATGAATAAAAGCATATTCAGTATGATATCACCTCCCTAGCATTTGACTAACAGTAGCTCGATCGATCTCACAAACTCCCGATGTTGGCCTTACCTTCACTTGGGGTAAGCGGGGAGGGGGGGGGGAGAGGGGGAAGAATAGCAGACGAGTGTCTTCCCTTATTACCTGCATATTATAACCTTGTCCTTGCAGATGCGCCTAGCTAATCTACACGATATACCTTAGTGAAGATTCAATCGACCTCTCTTCCCTAAGGTGAATTCAAATCAATAATTACTAAGTAACCCAAGCTCGAACTTTTAAATAAATTCATCCTTTTCAGAAATAATAAAAAAAATGCAGATTCAATATGCTTGGTAATCATATAACTCCTCTGTCTCGAAAATATCGCGTCTGGGGGTCTGATTACCGGATATGATGTTCGTAGGTTTGAAATTACATTTTCCTTCCATATTTCTCAGCTTACCATAACTATGTACCACGCACATAGATTTAACCGGTACATAAAAAAACCTTTCACACACACACACATACACACACACACACACACACACTGAAAGCACAAAATAGCATGAGCTTTTTTTGGCTACGCATCTATGCCCCGAAAGGCGAAGAATATTCAATACCACCGCCACTCATCCTGGGAAATGAAGTAGACGATCCTTGTTCTATAGAAATTCCTGGCGCCTTGGTTTCCTCTTCCTCCGATCTCGATTCAATTAGAGCTAAAAAGTCTAAACAGAGTGGGACTACACGGTTAGTCATCATATGGGAACTGGAAAGCTGAAATAGTAAGACAGGAGAGCGCGATAGTGCCTGTAGGCCAGAGCTCAGACTACCATCTGGTCGTGAAGGTACCTCCCTGGGTGTTACAGTTATGCAGCATAAACTCGATATTTGCAAAAGAAAGAGCAAGACGATAGAACTTATCATCCATTAAAGAAAAAGATTTTTATTGGACTAATCATATTACTTATTGAGAGATAGCGGCATAGTAGTCAATCTGCTCATTCGCCAAATCAGAGATTCAAGCCCAATGATGTGAATGACCAACGCACTAGTCACCTAACTGGGTGGTAGAATGTATCCCTCGTTAAGAGAGACCGTATCAATGGAGATTATATTAGAGACTCTTTAGTCTTCTCAAGGTGACTTACCAAGAAGTCCCTGTTGTTGCTTGTCACACGCCGTTGTCAAGGAGGTTCTCTCGCTATGGAAATTATTTCGCATTGAAAACACCGCACCACCTGATGGATGCTCCTGGCGAATGTGTTGCCGGAGGTACTTCTTCCAAGCAAATACCCTGTCGCAATGATCGCACTTGTACGTTGTATCACCTGACAGAAAAGGGAAAGATGATATCAAGCGTGCCATCAATCTACTACTCCGTAGCATTTCAAAAATTGACGCCCAATTTTATAGCCTGCTATGCTCAAACTACTCCACTCTTTCGACCCACTCATTTTGTATCTGTGGTTAATGGTAATCGTGGTCAAACCGGAGCCTTGATCTTCCGATTTGAGGAAGGTTTTTTGTATCCTACTGGCCTTTAGGAAGACCATCCGCTTTGTAAGATGATTTTCTTTAACATAAATTAGATTATTGATTTGAGGTTCATGGCTTAACAGAGATAATACTTTGCGCATCACGTAATTTTGGTGCATATGCGAGTGAATATCGATTCCAATTCAATTGACTTGAAAATCAGGACGTACCATACAGCTGTTAAGGCATAAGTCTTTTTAGACAACATTCCTATTCAATATCTCTGCGGCTGTGAAGGTGAGAGAATTTTCAGACAAGATTAAGCAACTTACTTTGGTGAATTTGTAGCATGTGATCCCGAAATTCAGGAAGATCTGAAAACATCTTGGAACACTCATGACAGGTGTATAGCGCCGGTTCTAAAAGAAAAAAGAGCTCGTATGTTGCACACAAAACATTAAATGCTTTAATTTTGTTGTCATCCAAGTGATATGAATAACAGAAAATGGTCAGAGATATTACCACTGCATTGTACTGTTATTGGCTAATCGTACTGCCCTTGATCTACTTGTGCTATCAAAAGTCTTCATTGTTTCCTTGCCTTTGTTTTTATCATTAAACCCTCTGTTACTCCCCTTCTATTTAGCTGAGTCATCCGCTATGGGCTCTAACGACTACGGCGCATTTAAAGTTCCGGGTTGCCTTTATTAACATTTCAAACCCCTTAATACAGGAGTCTAGTAATTTACAACTTTCCCTACGATGTCAGTTATTTCCTAATAGAATAAATTAAAAAAAATAGCCAATTACAACTATGAGTAATTTGATAACACAAGTATAGAGGAGAGGGAAAGAGTGCTTACCTGCGATACCAATTTATAGATGATAATGATCAAGGAGAATATGAATTCCGAGATTTAAGTCAAAGAAACTCCGGAAATTAGTTGTGCGAGCAACGATTCAAGAAAACAAAATGAAAAAAAACAGACTCGACCCAAGGGACAACTTTAAAGCTAAGATGTATCGGGCCAAAACATCACCATCAAAATGATAACAATATAAAAAAAGAAAGGGCAATAGACAAAACAGCTAATATGGACATATAGGAACGCCACAAAATACGCTATCAATAGAAAATAATTCGTTTTATGACAGTTTACTCGCCTAACGGTAGCTTCGATTTATGCACAAATGTCAATGTCTATTGACTTTAAACCTGTCTAAACTAATATTCAAGCAAAAAGAGAATGAAGTGATCTCATATCTGCTTTACTGGCGATAATTATGGCAAGAAGGCATGGAAAGTACCTGTTAGCAGCCTTGTAAGTAGCATGTATGGGGGCCACAATGATGAATAAGAGCATTTACGCTTGTGATCTCACCAGCCAATCAGTTGTTACACTACTAAACTGTCAAATCATTTGCTGCCTATGTTATGAATACCTCCTACGTGGATGGAAAAAGAGCCAACCAACGTCCAAAGAACCCAGATACCATCCAGAAGTGCAATCGAGTGCCCAACAAAATAAGCTGCATGGAACTTCTGATGCACCCATCCTCCCTTCTATAAACACTCAATAGCGTCCGGATACTTAAATCCCATTTCTCTGCAAACCCCTTTGCTCTATTAAATTCCTATTCTACTAAAACCACCTACAGCCTCAAGCGAAAAAATGACTTAACGACATACGGAGTCATATTGATCAGTTTCCCAGGGGGGTTGAAATGACACATTCCCTTGGATCTGTCGTAACCCGATTCTCTAACAAATTTCACATAAGACGTATTCTGAGGTTGGCGGTTTGAAAACGCCTCTTTAGAAGGTATGGCTAGGAATTTCAATTGTCGATGCACTCGTAGTAATGCAAACAATACTAATTTCACATATTTGCATATTACCAATACCATTAGTATATAACGAAGCCGAAGCTTACTTAGGTGGTTGAATTCAATGTGTTGTTGGGTCAGTTCAGCGCTAGGAAATGATGTATCACAGAAGTAGCACAGCTCAGGAGGAAAATCTACAAAAGAAAAGGTTTGAAGTTCAAATATTTTTAATAAAGGACGTAAACTAATTTCTTCATATTTAAGAGAGTAAAAGACAAATACGCACGCTTATGACTATCCCTCATGTGACCAGGAAGGAAATCAACGAGGAATATTTGCCGACAAACCGGGCACCTGAAATCAGCGTCTCGGAGTTCTAAACCTAAAAATTAAGAACTTAGTCGAAGGAGGTCACTCTTCAATTACTTCAACATAAGCAAAATTTTGTTAGCTCTGTTATTTTTAAATAAGCTTTTTGTTAGTTTCATCCACCTTCTCCACCAAGATGTAAAATATGAATGATATAACTAGCAAACTCTGAATACAGCGGTGAATAAAATTATACAGAAACTCGAGGTTCAAATCAAGAAAATTGGGCTTGGGAATATTTGGAAATTACAAGATGAATTAATAGCCATTAGATGAGAGAAAACAACTCAACGCTTCAAAAAATCAAATTTGGGCCTCTGTTTTATTCCTAGCTGGACTAGAGATTGCCATCTTTTGAGCTCGGATGCTACGCTGTGGGCAAAAATGCCTTATTTTTTATTCGCAATGTCACAGTTAGGAGATGAGATTTCAATAAACGAAGGCGCACGAACACGTGATTAATATTTTGTCCTAATGCTGTCTAATTCTCCCACGATGTTACATTAACGCGTGAGTACATGCCACTGTGAAGAGCTTGACAATTATTAGGGGCATAAATAGCCATTGGTCTGGCGGTGTTTTAACCTTCAACAACAATAGCAATTACCAAATACAAATATTCAACAAAGTATCTTTGTGTAACCACAACTTCGCCATGGCATTCTCTCGGAGTCTGAGTCACCAGCAGACTAGTGATATCTATTAGTAGAAGATTGACAGCCAGGTTAAACATTACAGTCTTAATAAAAAGATAACTGGCAAGACCTCTACTCCCATCTTGGATGGAGGGATAGAAACACGGGGTTCGCCCATCATCAGCTGTTATAAGCCTAATTCAACAAGTATGGAAGGCTAACTCGTTCATTGTGTGGATCAAGTGATAATGAAAAAATAGCAGAATAAACTAACCTTGTTCATGTACTTCTTGATGCTCATGCAAGTCCGTACTTGGTGAACGATGTATAGGCTGACGATTAGCACCACGAACTTGGCATTGCCTCCGAGATGGTGGAAGTTCACCTATAAAGTATGGAAGGATTAGAAGTTAATGAAGACGAACAAAACCTACAATTATGCACCCGACGCATGTGGCTATGAAGTTTCATGTAGTAGTAATAGCCCTTTCCACAATTTGGACACATGTAGTTGTGCACACCTGAGAGGAAAGAAAAAATCAATATATGTACAAATAGATATTGAGAAGTCGATCTAATGAGATGCCCCAAGCCCCTTAAAAAGGAAAAAAATTCCCAAGCCTATTAAGAAAAGTGCTAACAAAACTTGGCTCAGGTAGAGGAAAGGTATTGTACCACCTCTTCAACTGTCGGAAATTAACCAGGATGACTGTTCGCACACATATAGAGGGATATGAACAGTGAGTATTGATCTGGCAACAACAGATTTGATCAGATTTGGAGTCTCAATGATGAGAAGCTGATATTCTTCTGACTGCTAAGCCATCAGAGTGCATCAATTTAATAGAATGGCCATTCACAATCGTTTAATATCAGTCAAGAAAGAGATGGCCAAAATGGCGATTAATACTAACATATGTTTCAAGATATGGTCTTTCTTCTCCAGACGGCAAAATTGGAATTTTTCCCACCCTCCCCAAAATTAAAACACGACAAAACGTACAAAAGTGACTTGATTGCATGTGCTTTTGAGCCACTTGTGCCGAACAAAAGGTTCTTCCACAGATAAAACACTGATTTTTGGGAAAATCTACAAGGAAGAAAAAAAGTCATTGAATCAATGAGAAAGGAGCAAAAGATAAAGTGGAGTTACCTTTATGACACTTCTGAACATGGAATTTAAGGGTCGTGGGAATGAATGCCTTTTTGCAAACGAAACACTTCAACGAATCACCTGTCAAAAAAATGGTGGTGGCGGCTTAAGGCATTCGGAAAGAGATTTAATCACATTCAAATAAATTAAGCAAATAGTCCCAATAGAACATGAAAAATAAATACCAATAATTGAAGCTAATAAGTTTAATAATATTTGGCACAATACTCAAACGACAATTATATTTCATCTCAAATCTGACCTCTTTTGCTTTTCTTGTAGTGATAATCTAATAAAAGGAAAAAGAAAGGGGGTAAAGGGCATTGAAGTCTTATACGACAAAAAAACTCAAACGATAACCTTGCCTGTCTCGTGGGGATTAAAATCTAAAATAAAATGAAATGGTAATCAGGCTTTTCTACAAAAAAAAATGAATTATGGAAACCATAAAAAAAGCTTACCCGAATCGTCATCTGAAGGAATCCAAGATTCAACTAAATAGTAAATAAACACAGAGGTCAACGAACACGGAGGTCTAGCTAATTAAAATGCCCAAATTTTCAAGCCCATAAAGAGAAGTTTTAACCATAATTAACTGATATAGAGGAGGTATTCGAAGACCGCTTCGATTAGAAACTGGCAGTACACTGTGCCATTTCCTAATCTGAAGTAATCAATTCAGATAATAATCGAGAAGAGTAGACCTTGGGACCTCTGATCTGGCAGATGAATTACTGTGCCATTGGAAATCAGATAAGGAGAAGAATTTCTCAGGTACCATAATGGACAAAGTGAAACTGTCTAAAACCTCTGAATAAGATTTCACATCTCGCAATAATAAGGAGTAATCAAATGGACGGGTCATTATGACCATCGAATGTGAACCAGTCATAGCAACACTGACATTTAATTGCGTTAAATACACAATAATTTAAATTAGGCGCGAATCAGATAGCCTCAACTAGTATCAATTACCAACTGAAATAGTAGAAAGAATGAAAATGAGTTTAAAATCGCTCCTGGTAATAAAGGCGTTCCAACATGAACATATATCCTCCCAAACATGTGAAATGCGTGCGGTAGAGAAAAAATGTGCTTTGATGGTATAAGATTTTCATTAAAAATGATCGACTTCTCACCTTTTTCGATTCGGTCGTGCAAATAAATGGCTCTCTTTTGCTTCTTTGGTCTTCCTCTCCCTCTACGCGGTAGAGTTTGGCTATCCTCTGGGGAAGATTTTAAAATCGGAGATCCATTCTCTTTCTTTTCTCCAGTTTGTCCATTATTAGCAACGGCATAACCGTCAGTGTCGGGTCTCAAAATGTGTTCTACTTCACTACCATAACCAACTTCATTTTCCATGTCAGCTTTTGCCACATCATGCAACCGGGCACCCGCTATTTCAAGTTCGGGTTTAATATCATCAAGGTTTGCGGGATCAACCCAACGAATCTTAGAGCCTAAGTTAATAAAAAATATCAGACAACAAGTAAATTAGCATATGTGTTGCATTCGGCCTTTCGTAGGAACCAAACCGAACAAAATTTTTAAATAATCACGGCAAGAATCGCGGGAGAATTACAATAATAAAAATTCTCATAAATCAAATCATTACACGTGAAATATTAAATACATAAAAAAATTTTGAAAAAATATAAACGAAATATCGAAATAATTAAATGTCAATAACTGTTTACACACCAATTTTACTCGAATTAAAACCTAGCATCCAAGGTAAAATACACAATGACCTAAACTTTGTCACACTTCCAGCCCAAATTTGAAATATTAAAACAAAAAAATGTAAACACCAGTAATATTGAAGTGATCAGTTCATAATAATTTTTTGGATGAAGTTACTATTCATTACTTAATGTGAACCTTATTTATAATTTCATAATTTGAATTGATGATTTGTTTGGGGATCCTATGAGTAGACTATAATTTAAGAGTAATTAACTAGTTGGGATTTATTCTTACGGATGTGCATGTATTGTAACTTCAACGTCCATATGCATATTGTGATGAATGCCTGTTTGGATTCTTTGAACATTTGGATTGCCTCACAAAACCTAAAACCGAATTATTATGACGTTTTATTGGGACATAAAACTACTTTAATCTGTACTTTATTTAGTAACGCCATCGTCTCAATTGTTTGAAACAGTTGTTCTCACACATATTCAGAGGCTATTAATTTGTTTATACGTAGGTATATTCCTCAATATTGTTATAATTTGTGGCCTTTCTAATATCATAATCCTTATAACAAAATGATAATTTCATTTAAGGGTAAGCTATTCCTTGCATGCCATGGCATAATTTATTGTGCTCAAAACTAGATCCAATTAGAGTTACTATATACTTATTCCCGAATGAATGCCTTGGACTTAATGTGAACCAATTCGTCAATGGCATATCATCTAAATGTTGCAAGTATGACTCATTCTAGATACTTTAGAGACTGTCTCTATAATAATTTTATGAGCGTGACTTGTCGAAGTTTTAAGATCTGTTCTACTTTCTATGATGCCACAATCGACCCTTTGTTTCTCTAGGAATGCACACCATCAATAAATGAAACTAGGCATCTTCAAAATTCAATACGACCCAAACCACCATACCAAAACACGAAGAACGTTTTGGTGCCAATATCTTGGATTAATTCTTTTCAATATGGGAGAATTTAAAGGAAAAATTTTATTTTCTTACATATGACATGAAGCACTTACTACTATACACCCTAGGATCAGGAATGATTTGACTAGTCATAAGTTGGTCTAGACATCCTTATTGCTGTCTAGCATTGAACACAGTCATCAATTATTGGTCATAACTGTTTTTTTAGAAGAGAAAAGATCTGGAGTGGTGTCCAGTTCATTTGTTTGTCACGAATTTTACTTCTTGTATAGTTTAGTGTCAAACTACATCAATTATTAAAAGCCAACTTAAAGTGCCCCCAATCTTTAGGCTAATTTACGATGGCAATCTTTTGCTTTTATCTAAAATGAATAAACGATCACGAGTTAAGCTTTTAAAATGTGTTGCACGACAAATAAACATAAATCAAAATTTCATCATGCAACATGGAGAAAAATTATCTTTTTTTATTAAACTGTCAATTAAAATCAAGTATTAAATTAAAGTTACTACTAGACAGAAACGGTTGCTTGACAGTTAATGGAAAGATCAAAATATAAAACATGTATTAGTTTCAATGCAATATATATACTAGACTTAAAAATTCAGACCGGGGACACGATAAAATGTAAAGTACTGAAGAAGGCGAATGTTTACAAGGAGATGGCACTTCAATTTGTACATTATTTGGAATGGCGCTGTTTTCGACGCCACTTTCTCAACAGGTCAAGGAATACATGTCCTTGAACTAACACAATTTGTATTTAAGGCTTTTTATTAAACACCTCGGAATAATGCTTCAAATTTACAACAGTGCCTTGATTAAAATTTTAGATTGTTAATTTATTACATCGATCGAGATTTTTATGATATTTTTCAAGTTGACGATAATAAGCCATTGGTGACCAGCGGAGTCTTCACTTTATTTGTGAATTTCATAAAAGTTTACAGTTCGTAATTCGGAATGAGGGGTCATAATGTATTATCGTTCAAAATCTTTTTACATCTTTATTTGGCCAGTTTATGACAAAATAGATATAATGTCCCATCGTCATCAAAGCATACGCACACATTCACGCGTGTTTGGTTAAATAATTCAATGATAGCCGTTTTGATTTTCCTTCCATAAATGTAATTTTCGTTTTAAGAACTATTTCAATTTATTTAACCCATCTAACCATGAATGCTGTGTTTATGATGTTTACTTACAGCCTCTCTGCCACAAATACGTCCAATCGAAGTAAATCAGTCCATAGGCATAATACCTATTGGATTTAACGGACAAAGTCGAAATTATAAAAAGATGATGGAAAAATGGGACAAAACGGTGCATCCCATTGATTAACAGATGCAATAATTATTAATCCAACAAAAGGTCATTTGCTGCGGCACCTAATGACTTTTGGTTGAAATAGAAGAACTGTTATGACGTATTCCTAAGCATTACATATTTCACTCGTGTAAATATACCTGAATGCCTTGGCAAAATTTATTTTAAATACCCAAAGTGATTGTAGTTTATAACTTCTCCAGAAGATTTCTACAAGTCTAAATTTTGGAAAGGTCACGAGAATAGCTCATTTGATTGACGGTATTTTTGCAGTAATTGATGATCGAGCAACTTCTACAAACTTGAAATATATCTTTAATGGAATATAACTGAGATATTTTATTTCTCAAAGGCAAATTTCGATAATCCATGCTTTTTTAAGTGGTAGAATGTTAAAACCTACGTTGAAGGAGCCTAAAATGGTTGGTAAAATGGTAAGTATAACAATCATCACGGGAATTAATGACACGTCATAATTTCATCACTTGGGGCCTATTGCACTTCGCTCGGTTGTCTTGTTATAATATTAGTGTCAAGGGGTGTGCCAAAGACTTACCTCCACGCGGTGCACCCTGGGCAATGGTATACTCATACGACAAAAAAGTCTATTAACTGGCAGTTGACTTCTGACTTCAAACTACCATCACCCCACTGTATGTCATATTCGACTACTTTCACAGTACTCATCTTATCTTTTCTCTACCTTTGTGTCTGTCTCTTTTACATCTTTGAAACACTCTTCT